CCTGTGTCTGTGTTCCAGTCAGTGGCTGCACGAGAACGGAGCCACGCGGGGCGAGCTGATGATGAAAGAGCACTTGCATGACCGGCTTTCTCCTCCTTAGGAGTCTCTCCCGAGCCAGCCGACGGCGTAGAAGCCCCTCCTTGGGCTTCATTCGCGTTCGCTCCCTTCCCTCTACCTCTACCCCGACCCCCACGCTTCCCTTGGCCTCCAGCATGCGATGACGACGATCCAGACGACTTCTGCTTGGCCAATGACGACGCAGACTTCATCTCAGGACAATCACGAACGATGTGGGAGGGGGAGTCGCAGAAGTAGCAAAGGGGCTTGAGAGCGGCGGCCATAGCGAGCTCAGGAGTGTCTTCATTCTGCAGGGCACGACGTTTGCGGGATTGCTCCTCATTAGAGAAGGCTTGGGTGACGTTGTCGAGGGAGAGGTCGTCGGAGAGGGTAAGGAAGGTGACGAAGTTGTTGTAGTCGGAAGGGAGGGCCTTGATGAGCGTCATGGACGATAATTCGGAGTCGAGGTCGTCAAGGGAGAACTTGGCGGGGCGGCGCTCTTTGATATGGGAGATGTAGAGGTCGACGCGAGCAACGAGGTCGGAGAGGGACTCTCCCTCTTGGAGACGAGTGGAGAAGAGTTCGGAATAAGCGTCGAATCGCGTACCAGTCTTCTTCTGCACAAAGACACTCTCTAACTTCTCCCACATCGCCTTCGGATCTCCCTTCTCCTTCCTGATATGCGCCTTCTGGTTCTCCTCAACCAACAACCAAATCTCCCCACTAGCCTTCGCCTTCCTCTGATTCCACTCCCTCATCTCCTTCGCTTCGGATGCGGTCATGGCCGAGGCGTTAGGAGGGGTAGGAGCGATGTCAGTGCCATCGACTTGGCCCCAAACACCCTTAGAGCCGAGGACGGCTTCAGCATTGTCGACCCAGGAGCTGTAGTTGTGGCGATTGAGCTTGTCAACGGCGCGTTTGTCGTCGGACATGATGGCGGATAGGATAGTGAAGGAACGGAGGGGATAGCGATGAAGGGGAGGCGAAACGAAGCTAATCGATGAAGAGGCGATTTGCGGCCAAGGGAAGAGATGGAGACGTCGATAAGAGGCGCAAATTGAGTCCGATCGAGAAGAGGGCGAATGCAGCGAGTAGATATCGATGACGACGAGTCTAGCGCAAAGAGAGAGAAGCAGAGAACTCGTTCTGAGGCGAGTAGAGAGAGATCTGAGTCTCAGAGATCAATTAGGAGCTAAGCAGAACGTTCTGAGGCGATTTAAAGCGCAGGGCCCATAACCTGTGAGGCGCAGATAATCGAGCACTCGAAGAACGACTGTGAGAAGCGTCACTGTCAATGATATTGCCCTCACAAAGTAATAGAAAAAGAAAGAGACGAAATCTATAGTAAGACTCACCTGTGAGAAGCGTCACTGTCAATGATAAAGAGACAAGGACGCTTCCCACAAGTTAAAAGGACGCGCTCCGGCGCTTACCGGTCTACTATACAGTTGGAAAACTACCTGCCTAAACGGGACGCAGAGGCGCGGAACCGAGGCGCGGAATCCGGCCCTCTGCGGCCCGCTGGCTGGCGATATAACTAAAGTCATAACTCTGCAGTAAGTGGTCCTATCAGTCCCGGAAAAATTGCTAAAATATCAGGAAAATTCCCTCTGTCTCGTCGTAATACTCCGGAC